TAGAGGCTAGCAGAGTGGCAACCACCCCCTCCTCATAGCCCATGTCCTTTAGCTGTCGCCTTTCAATCTCCAGGCTGCTAACTCCAGCATGTCCGGACTCGGGAGCACCGACGTCCCCTGCGTTAGTAGATTGGCCCATGATGGCAACCGCCATGGGTCCCTTACTGAAACTTCAGGAGATCTTGAAACCATGCCCTCCTCAACCAGAAGGGCATGGCTAGGATCAGATCTGCCTTCTGTTCCACCATCACCTGTATCCCCCTTGGAATTAACGGAAACAGTAGGAATGCATACAGAAGACCCCTTGGCTCAGAGCATCCATACCAATAGCTTCTGGACTTCTTGACTTTGAAACGAAACATCCCAGTTGTCTGATTTGATCCGTCGCGAACAGGTCTACCTCTGATGTTCTGAACCTCTGGCATCTCTGGCGGGATACTGTCTTGAGCAGTGATCACTCTAACTGGTCCACCATCTGCCGACTCAACTAATCTACTAGAAAATTCTCCCAACCAGCCACATGACCAGCTTGAGAGATAGAAGATGGGCCTCTGCCCAGTCCATCACCTCTTCCTGGTCCAGTTTTTTGAAACGGGTGCCACCCTTTTTGTTGATAAAGGCTGTTGCTGTCATATTGACCGTCTGAAGGAGAACATGATGGCCAGCTAAATGTCTCTGAAACCGAACCAGGACCAGATTTATTGCTCTCAATTCCAGGAAATTGATGCTTCTGGTCGATTCTTCTGCTGACCAAGGCCCTTGTGTCATGTTGCCCAAGGAGAGTGCTCCCCTGCCAAACAGGCTGGCATCTGTGGTTACTGCTGTTCTCTTGGAGTCCCTCAGGTGCATACACACCAAAAATCTGGTTGGTTCCAGCCACCATCGTAGCTGTAGTTTCACCAACGTTGGCAACACTACTTTCATTACCCTCCTGTGCGCTATCTCCTCCTGGTACTAAGGAGAGAACTCTGAAGTGGTCGAGTGTGGAACCTGGCCCAAAGCACTACACCTTGACAGGAGACCAACATTCCCAATACGCAGGCCAGAGACATCAGCTCCATTGATGGAGCTAGTAGCTCCTGGAATAACAATTGCACAAATTTCTGCTGCCTCTCCTGAGACAGGAAGACTCTCTCCCTTGCCAAGTGAATTAACACACCCAGGTGATTTAAGGCCTGGGATGGTACTAGGACAGTGTTCTCCACAATGATCACTAAACCATGTGCCCTGAGCACCTGCATTGTAACGAAGGTGCCTTTAGCAGGATTGTCATCAAGATACGAAAACAGGGACACGCCCTCCATCCTCAAGAACTCTATCAGCATCACCAAATCTTTGGCAAAGACCCTTGACGATGACTTAAATCCAAACAGGAGGGCCCAGTACTAAAAATGTCACCCCCGACAAGCAAAACACAGGAACTCACGATGCCCATCCTGGATCGGGATGTGAAAATAGGCATCCACCAGAACGAATGAAACCATGCAAACTCTTCCCTCTGTAAGGTAGAGAGAATTGACCTCAGTGTCTCCATCTTGAACGTTCTGGTCTTTAGATATCTGTTCTACCACTTGAGATCTAGAACTCCGACATCCCCATTTTTTCTTGGGAATCATAAAGAAGATGGAGTATACCCCTTGCGACGTCTCCCCTTCTGGTACTCGTTCTATGGCCCCAATGCCGAGAAGATGGTGTAAGACCCTCTTTTTTATATCTATCTATCTATCTATCTATCTATCTATCTATCTATCTATCTATCTATCTATCTATCTATCCATCTATCCATCCATCCATCCATCCATCCATCCATCCATCCATCCATCCATCCATCCATCCATCCATCTATCTATCTATCTATCTATCTATCTATCTATCAGATGGTGTTTGTTCCTTGGGTGATTTTTTTCTTTTGGCAGTTCCAGAGGGTATGGCATGGAGGGTACCTTTTGACATGGAGGGTACCTCTCGGACTCCAGAAAGTAGTCATGAGTCACCGTCTCCAGCACCCACTTGTCTGTGACTGTCCGGTGCCACTGGTGAAAGAACCACTACAAAGGGCCCCCCACTTTTTTTAGCCATAGGGTCCCAGCATAGTCATGCTGTGGTTCCCTTCTTGTGAGCCTTTGGGTTCTGTCCTGCTTTTTCTGCAAAGGCTGGGTTCTCGAACCCTAGCTCTATGCTACCATCTGCCCGTAAACGCACTATTGTAAACTTGTCTGTCATCTTGCCTCAAGTCTTGAAAGGACTGAAAACACCTCTTAGTTCTCACTTCACGTTTTCCTTGAAACCAGGACTCTCTTCATGTCCTCGTCCTCAACAAGAAATCTGTTCAAGCCTGCACCAAACAGATTAACTCCCTTAAATGGCACTGCTGCCACCTGCGCTCTGGCCGATGGGTCTGCATCCCCAATTTCTGAACCACGTATTGCACCTAATTGTCACACAACAGGCCATCGCCCCAGCAGCAAGCTGGAGTGCATCCAGGGAGGCATCTGTTGCAAAGGCTGTAGTCAAGGCTACCTTCTTCAACTCGCCCTTCAGACTCTTAGGTATGCCCTGCCCACCGCCATAAGGTCTGAAGCCCAAATATATGCTGCTCTAGCAAATAAGGACCTCGTGGCAGCCGCTCGCAGGGAACTGGCTCAGGCTTCAAAATCCCTTCGTAGGGAGTGTGATTTTTTTAAAATCATGCTTGTCACAATTGCCTTTGGGAAGACATAGAAAAAGGCAGGCAGAGGTACCCCTGTTGCTTTAGAGTTTGGTTTGGGAATGGCTTTGTCAGACCCAACAGGGAAGTCCGCCGCCTCTGTGTCTTCCTCGGTCTTAGGAGTATGAGAGCGCTGCAGCACTCTCAACACCTTTGGCAACAACATATGGTATAACACCTGAGAGAAAAGTCTAGATTGGAAAGGAGGGACCCTCCTCCTTGGCTGAGACAAAGACATCGGCTTCAGAGTCCTCCTCAATGTTACTGAATAGAGGACTGATTTCCCTCCCCCCCCCCTCTTTAGAGGAGGTTTTCCTGTCCTTCTTTCTAGGGGGAGGACTGCTGTCTCCATGCCTCTTTTCCCCGTGGGTTGAGTGGAAGCTGTCCGTTGACATATCATACTCTTCTTTAGTCAGGAGAGAAGATTTAGTCTGAGCTTCCTCCCTGGGTAGTTCCAAACCCTAAACATCCTTTTTGGAAATTTGGGAAGCCTCTATACCATCTAGGGAGAAGGAACTCAAAGGGTCAGCCTTGTCTGCTATTTTCTTCGACTCTGAAAGTGAAAGTAGCCCACCATCACCCTGAGTCACTGAATGGCTGCCCTTCCTGCCATTTTTCCTTTCACTTCCAGCCCCATAGAGGGAGGAAATGAAACACAAACAACACATCCTTCCCAACCTGGTGGAAAACACAACCTTCTGCCCCATTCCTATCCCCAGGGCTCTGAAGGAAAAGGCATCATGCAGCCACCCAACTCTGCACACTCGCCAGCTACAGGGGATGGGCGGGGGGGGGGAGGTTGGGAGCCTCCACATGGAAGCGCAAACTAGGCCAGCCCACAGGATCCAGCCTGAATCACCTGGCTCCCCCCATGCCCCAAATCCCCCTATCGTGCTTCAGAAGCAGTATGACTTGACTGAAGCCACCAAGCCGCCCGGTCATCTATGCTGCAGGCGCGAAGACAAGACTCCAGCCCCATATGGGATCGTGCCGGCTCAAGCCGTGCCACCCGCGCACATTTCACCTCCGCTTCTCGCCAGGCCAGGCTCAGAGCTTCCAAAACTGAGCAGGGGAGCAGGAACCTTCAGTGGCAACAGGCAGCCCCATGCATCGATGGAGGCGAGTTCCCCGGCTACCGCGACTGACTGGGGGTCTCCCAATGCTGCAGGCAGCCACTCCCTACGGTTCCACCTGTGGGTCCAGGAGGGGTGGAGAGGCAGAAACACCTTTCCCCGCCTCCCTAACACCTCACTTCTTGCTTCTTTATTTCATTTTTTCTTCTGCCAGGATCTTCGTGCTCCTTAGAGCACAGCTAGACGTCCTGCTCCAAAGGCAGGGCCGGTAAGACTGGGAGCCAGAGGACAAGCCCCTCCCCTCCAGGATCAAGTTTGGCCAACCCTGCCTGCGGAAGGGGAGGAGCTAATCCCAGGAGTAAGGAGTTAAGGACTGCCCTACTCCCAGGACCACCGGAGAACTATATTCTGCATATGTGACCATGTGACTGTAGACTATAACTTAGATGCTATACCTTGCTTCTGCAACTCTGGCAGAGGTTCTGTTCTAGGTGCCTCCTGCGCATGTAAGACCAGCACTTTTCAATGTGCAGGAAGTGTCTAGCACAAGAAGAACATTATGCTGTGCACTGGAAGACCATTTCCACACTAAATAGAGCAGCACACGATGAAGAAAAGTATCCAAGCCTGTTTCATTTGCACAAGAGGACAGAACCCCCCATACCATTAATCTGCCCCCTTCTCTGTTTAAAAACTTGTAAACAGTAACTTGCCAGTGGTTGGGATCCCTACCAAGTGACCATTAAATAAAAGCTTTTGTAAACTAAAAAAAGAGTCTGTCCCTCGTTGCCTGTGTGCAAACGACTAATATAACCTGGCGCAGGCAATAAGTTCACAATAAGCAAAAGGTTGTTGCCACTGGGCCATGTTTAACAACCTTTCTGTTTGTTTGTAGACTGCAATCAGTTCATAGACATCTGAGGGACCTAGTATGTTTTGCAAACATATTTGCACATTTGTTCTATTTCAGTCAAACAATACCAGAATTTCTAGATCCTCAGGACAGCAAGATATCAGCCATTTTCTAGACACAAAGCAAAAACTGTGTTAGACACTGGATGGGATCAGTCATATATTTCCTGTCCCGTGGAAGTCTCTTTGCCAGAAATTTTCATCCATTTTTCACAATAACTTCCCTTCTGCTTTCTGAAGAACTGATTTTTTTTTAAAAGGTATAGTGCACTTTTTAAAAAACCAATACTGAACAAAAATAAAAATACCTGCCAGGAGAGGCATGAGGTCCAGCTGAATAAATGCTATTCCATATTTCCTCAAGTGTGCTTGTGCACCAGCTTCTTTAGGGGGTGTTTTACGAGATATCGGTCTCTTTTCTACAGCAGCAGAAATGCTTTTTCGTTTGCTTTTCTTTTCAAGTATCTGAACAAATACTGGAGGAAAAAGATTTTTTTTAAACCTTGCAAAGGTAACTAATATTGGTTAAACATGTTTAAGAAAGCAGTTGTTTGATCTTCTAGGCTTGCCAATATTCTGGCAAGCCTTTGGGACACAGGGACACCAACCCAGTCCAGCTAGAGGGGGTGCAACACTACCAGATTACCTTACACATGGGAATTAAAGGCAGTTACACACAGGTAAAGTCTATTCATTTGCTAACTCCTATGTCCAGTCAAAAGAACCTCTCTGCTTGTAGCAATATCCTTCTCCCCACATTTCAGTTGGGAAAGAAATGGGTGTTCCCCTCACTCTCTTTCAGATAAGCAAAAGAAAGGAACACAGATCCACAAAAGCACAACTATGGTTGCAGATACCCAAACAGAGCTTTTACTCTTCTTACAGGAGTGTAAGCCAAGTTCAGACATATCAAAGCAAAAACAAACATCTCATTACAGAAATCAATTTTTCTCATGATGAGACAGCTTTTAAAGAATGCTGCAATTATTTGCCTGGAATAATGGGATGCTGCCTCAGACAGAAGACTGGCCCAAACAAACTGGGATCACGGTAGCAAAGGGGACTAGTTTAAGAAACTTCCCATTTGCAAAGGTACCCCCAAAAGTAAACACTAATTAACTCTTCCAAACATAATTCTGTTGTTGCTGAGGGAGAAGAAAATTATTCAGGAGTGCAGCAATCCTACTCGCCCAAGATAGGGCAACTAGGACAATGGACCTTTATATTTATCCACTATCTTTGAAGACCATGAGATTAATAAACACCTCCAACATCTTCCTCTCCGCTTGACAAGTGGAAGAAGACTCACAAGCTACATTGGCTTGAATGTTTCTAAATTACCTACATAAATAATAAATTTTCATTAGTCCAACAGTATGCCATTTCTGTTTGTGTGGGTAAATTGCAATTCTTCACCCCTGACTGATAATAGGGCTGAGTGTAGAGACTGAGGGGAAAGCGAGATGTCCTTTTTGGGTTATCCCGGTGACTGAAGCCCCACAACAACAGCTATACAAATTATAAGAGCAAAAGGGGTTTCCGGTCTATGGCAGCACGCCGAGCAGACTCACCTCCCAGACCTCCCGGGGGGTAAAAGCTGTGCACCAGCAGAAAGGAGGGGGGCGAGGAATCACTACCTCCCATGGAGCCTGGCTGAAAGGCTCGAAGCCAGGGGACTTTTGAGAGGTCGCCTCTTCGCCAGCGCAATGCTGGGGAATCGAGGCGCTTCTCCGTCCCGATGGTCCTCCTGCTGAGTGTCCGAATGGAAGAAGCGACGCTGACTGGGGCAAGCGCTGGAGATCGAGCGGTTAAAACGGAGGCTAAACGAGGTCGTATGACCAAAGATGAACTGTGAGTCGGATTAAAGCGTATTTGCAATTAAAAAAAAACCCTACCCCATGGACTAGAAAGTAAAGCGAGCGGGGGAGGGACCCCTCCCATGCGCATAAACTTAAAAGCAAGACCGGGGGGGGGGAGCGGAAACAAAAGCGATGAAACCTGTTGGGAAAGACTTACCAAGGCGTGTATGAGCGTTTGAGCGCATATTCAGAGATTTTGCTAATTTTTGCGAAAGTAAACAACTCATAAAGATGGTGGGGAAGAGGACGGAGAAGGAGAAACTTTTAAAAGCGAAAGTAGCTGAGAGTCCACGACCGGAAGGAACCACCGAGTTGGCCGAAACGTTGGCAGAGTCCCTGCACCCCTTGCTGGACCAGATGACTAATCTCAAGGAACAGCTGTCAACAATGAACCAATGTATCACTACTCGGCAGACACAATTGAACGAGACTCTTAAAATTACGGAACAAACAGCTGAGAAAGTGAAAGAAGTTGACGCCACTGCTCAAAAGGTGAAGAAAAAGGTACAAAAATTGGAAAAGAAGCAAATTTCAACAGAAGAACAGCTTTTACAACTACAAATGGAGAAGGCAAACCTGGTCCTTCGTTTCCAAGGTGTCCCAGAGACTAAGGGTCAGAATCTGAAGCAAATGATGAGCGAAGCATTGGCCCCAGTGACAGATTTGAAGGTGGACTATCTCATGAGAGAAACTGATGTGGCCTACAGGTCCTATTCCGTATACATAAAGAAGAATAATCTGCCTGGGGAAATAGTAATGAGATTCTCGAAGAGGCACGTGAGGGATTGTATCCTGAGAGCGACGGCGGGGACATCCTTGAAAATCGGGACAGTACCATCAGGATTCTAAAAGATATCCCATTTGAAATAAGACAAAGGAGAAAGAAATATAAAGATTTAATTCTTTTTCTTCAAACAAATGCAATTAGCTACCGGTGGTTATATCCAGAGGGCGTAACCTTCAAACTTCAGGACAAAAAAGAAAAGATTGACTCTGTTTCCAAAGCACGGGACTTTCTGAGAATCCAGTTGGGTGAGCCAGAGGAGGTGGATTAAGAGGAAAAGGACAGTAAGTCCAGTGGTGAGCTGGACTCGGGGTCTTCTGGAGAGGACTCTCTGTCTGAGAAAGGGGCAGCGGCTCCTGAAAGTCCTTATAAACTGCGGAAAAGAGAGGATAAGAAAAAATGAAGGCTGAAGGACTTTGAATTGTGCCTTTGAAAATACTGTTGTTAATATTGAGATGATTAGGGGTCTTTTTCCAACAGCTAAATTTAAGATTTAAAAGTTATATTAGCATATCTGAGTAAGTTCATAAAATTGTTAGCGTTTAAAGGGATGGCACTGTGTACAAACTAATTCGATGATCTCCTCTCTTGGGTTTTTAGTTAGTAGTGGTTATCTTTTCTTTCTCCTTAAATGTAGTTCCCCTCCCCTATTTTCATTGTAGTTTGTAGTCCTTATATAAAATGCAATTAAAAAATCCCCTTCGGGGGGCCAAAAAAAAGTATAAGAGCAAAAGGGATGAATGAAGCATCACTACAATTTGTAAAAGATCTAACTAGAAAATAAGAACAGATTTTATTTTTCATTCCACCTTACTCAGAGCAGTGTAAACAATCCCCATATAGATATATATATTAAAATATCCTTGTATCTCTTTCAATTAAAATGTTTGAGTCTAACAACAGGTTCATCATGAATCAAAATACACACTTACAAAAATCAAAGGAAACCGAAACTATAAAGTACAGAGGAGGGTAATGGAGATGATTAGGGGGTTGGTGCACCTTGCCTATGAGGAAAGGCTGAAGAGTCTGAGTCTTTTCCGTTTAGAAAAAAGACGACTAAGGAGAGACATGACAGACGTTTATAAACACAGAGTGGAGAAAGTTGACAAAGAGAACTTTTTCTCCCTCTTCCGAAATACTAGAACTCGAGGGCATCCAATGAAGCTGAAGGGCAGTAGATGGACAAAAGAAAATACTTCTTCACACACCGAGTGATTAAAATGTGGAATTCGCTGCCAGAGGATGTCATGATGGCCACAGGAACAGACATCTTTAAAAGAGGATTAGAAGGATTCATAGAGGGTAGATCTATCATGGCTGCTAGCCATGGTGACTAAAGGGAACTTCCACGTTCAAAGGCAGTAAACCTCTGAAAGTGTCAGGAGGCAACATCAGGGAAAGACCTCAGCCTCTATGCCCTGTTGCTGGACCGCCACAAGAACTGGATGGCCACAGTGTGAGACAGGATACTGGAATAGATGGGCCACGGGTCTGATCCAGCAGGGCTCTTCTTAAATTCTTACAGCACTTTTCCCTGTCACACAACCCTGTGATATTTTATGTATAAGACATAGCAGGAAAGATCCTGCCACTGTGGTACATGCCCTGGTAACATCTGGATTAGATTACTGCAGTGTGCTCTACATGGGGCTGTCCTTGAAAACTGTCTGCAAGCTACAGGTGGTACAGAATGCTGCGGCCAGAATGTTGACTGGCGTGGGTCGCAGGGACCATAGCACTCCAGTCTTATTCCACCTACACTGGCTCCCAATTTGCTTCTGGGCCCAATTCAAGGGGCTGGTATTGACCTTTAAAGCCCTATATGGCTTTGGGTGTCCTTGCCACATGACACAAGACGGGTGACAACCTGAGGCAGGGCCTCCTTAGTTGTAGCACCAAAACGTTGGAGCACCCTCAGTAGAGAGATTTGTCTGTCTCCCTCTGTCATTGTCCTCCACCAGCAAGTGAAGACTCCCAGTAAACTCTTATTGGCCCTTCTTCCTGGTTGTTGTTGGGGTTTTTTAGTTGTACTGTCAAATATTTTATATGCGTATGTACATAAAAGGCTGTTTTAATGTTTTAGATGTTTAATGATCTGAGGTTCTCCACCGTATTTGGGTGGAAAGGCAGCATATAAATGTTTTAAATAAATAAATATCTGCAATTACACTATTAAACTATCCATTTTTTATCTGTTACAGAAATCAGAATCCTCTCTGCTTTTATTTCTCTTTTTAAATGTTTCTAGCATTTACTATTGGGCACCATCTGATGAAATATCAGAAATGAAAGGGAGGCTAGCCAGGAGTTCACATTCCAAGACAGTGAGGCTTTGGTGCACCATCCATTGCCTCTTCTTTCCTTTGTGGTTTGTTGTACATGTCTGTAGAAGCTGCCAAGGCTTCCAGGGCTTGAAGCAAGAACTTGAGGGCCAGAGGCTGGGGCCTCATCTAATGAATTACCATGGACTCTCTCTCTCTCTCTCTCTCTCTGTGTAGAGGGTAGAAACCTCTTCAGATGTTGAAAGGGTATGCTGCAAACGCCACTGGCAAGCAGTAGGAAGCTTTTGGATTGGCTAGGCCTTGGCCTTCTGACTCTGCATGGTCAACAGAGCAGTACTACCACCTGCAGTAGAATCATAGAGTTGGAAGGCACCTCCAGGGTCATCTAGTCCAACCCTCTGCACAATGCAGGAAATTCGCAACTACCTCCCCCCCATACACCCCCTGTGACCCCTGCTTTATGCCCACCAGATGGCAAAAAAAAACTTGAGGATCCTTGGCCAAACTGGCCTGGAGAAAATTGCTTCCTGACCCCCAAAGTGGCAATCGGCATTTCCCTGGGCATATAAGTACTTCAGTCTCCAGTTACCAACTCAAAACATCAACTTTAGGAACCCTGAGCAGGAATAATTAGTGTTACCCAAGCAACCAGTATTAATCAGAACCAATATGTTAAACAAAGTCAAAAGCCACACTGCATATCTTCAAACCACTGCAAGCATTTGAATAAGCCCTCTCCACCACACCTCTACTTAGAGGCCATGATGGCCAAAACTTATGTTTAGCCTGGTTCTTGGCATTTTGGAATGAGCAACACTTCTTTCTGTAGAAAGTAGGATTTCTTGCCTCCTTTCAGTATTGCTTTGGAGCTGCGGTGGCTCAAGTGGTTAAGACGCTGAACTGCAGGCTATGGAAGGTCAGTAGTTCAGGAGTTCAAGACCCGGGTGCCGCAAGACGGGGTGAGCTCCTGTCTCTAGTTCCAGCTCCTGCCAACCTAGCAGTTCGAAAGCAAGAAATTGCAAGTAGATAAATAGGGACCACTTTGGTGGGAAGGTAACAGCGTTCCGTGCGCCTTGGTGTTTAGTCATGCCGGCCACATGACCACGGAAACGTCTTCGGACAGCGCTGGCTCTTCGGCTTTGAAACGGAGATGAGCACCGCAACCCTAGAGTCGGATTCGACTGGCTTTCGAGCAAGGGAACCTTTACCTTTTACCTTCAGTATTGCTTTACTGCAAAGGTGATGATCAATGTTCTGGAGACAGTCTGTCAGAAACCTTGACACAAAATGCCACGGAGCTCATTCCATATATCAAAAGTGCTTTGTTGTTTATATTAGGAGGTAAGAAGTACATGTTTCCCCTAAACGAAAGAAAAAGTTAATCTGTTCCAGCTAGCTTAGCTCACAAATCACAGAAAGTATCACTAATTAATTTATTTGGGAGGTAAAAAGAAAGGAAAACAAGGAAAAATAATTACAGCACATTAAGCAGCTCAAAGAGGAAGGAATCCAACCACGACTCAACAGGCTTAAATTATAATAACCAAGCAAACTCCCCATAAGGTATGTAAATGCTCATCAGGAGTATACAGAAGAAAAGGCTCCAACTGCCTCAGCTGTAAAGGAAAAAGCAGTTTGAAGATTAAGCTGCAGTGTGCAGAACTGATCCCATAAGTCACGGGTCCCCAGAGTCATGGGAAAGAGGCACTGAAGCAGAGCTGAAAGACAAGCATGGCAGGTATGGCAAAGGGTGAAGCCGGACTGTTCTTTTATGAGAAGCAGAGATGCCAGCTCTTAATCAGCATGCATGACAGCAAGCTCCTGAGAGACCCCCGGTGCTCCCCCTCCCTTGCTTCCGATGCAGTAAAGGTCTCAGCTCCCCAACAGGGAGTGCTCTACTCCAGCAGGCTTCAGCAGTAACTTCTGAGACAGAAACCACATGGAGGAAACGTGTCCCTGGAGAACAGAAATCACAGCAAAAGCACACAGGAACGATTACACGGAATTTAGTGTGTGATAAGAACAAGGCAAGGTCTCCAGATTAAACTGGGGTTCACATCCATGTCACTGTTGCTTACAGATGCCTATGAATATGTATATGATTAAAATGTAGCTAAAGAATAACCATGGCAAATAGAAGGGGAAGTCATGGAAGTAGTGACAGACTTCACGTTCCTGGGATCCCAGATCACCGCAGACTGTGACTGCAGCCATGAAATTAAAAGACGCCTGCTCCCTAGGAGGAAAGCGATGGCGAACCTAAACAGCATGATAAAAAGTAGAGACATCACCCTGCCAACAAAAGTCCGCATGGACAAAGCAATGGTATTCCCAGTCATCGTGTATGGCTGCGAGAGTTGGACTATAAGGAAGGCTGCGCGCCGAAGAATAGATTCTTTTGAACTATGGTGCTGGAGAAGACTCTTGAGAGTCCCTTGGACTGCAAGAAGATCAAATCAGTCAATCCTAAAAGAAATCAACCCTGACTGTTCCCTGGAAGGCCAGATAATGAAACTGAAGCTCAAATACTTTGGCCACCCAATGAGAAGGGAGCACTCACTGGAGAAGACCCTGATGCTGGGAAAGATTGAAGGTCAAAGAAGACGGGGACGGCAAAGGATGAGATGGTTAGACAGTGACATAGATGCAACGAACATGAAACTGAGCAAATTTCCGAAGACGGCGGAAGACAGGAAGGCCTGGCGGGATCTGGTCCATGGGGTCGCGAAGAGTCGGACTCGACTGTGCGACTGAACAACAACAACAAAAGAATAAAATACATACACATGCGGGTTAGAAACTTTAAAAATCAAAGGTAGAAGTAACTTCTGAAACTTTTAAAGGGGCCATGGCTCAGTAGAAGCCCATCTTCTTGGCATGCAGAAGGTCTCAGGTTCAATCCCTGGCACCTCCCGCTAAAGAACCAGGCAGTAGGAGATGTGAAAGACTGCTATTTGTGACCATGGAGAGCTGCTGCCAGTCTGAGTAGACAATATTGACCTTGATGGACCAAGGAAGGGTCTGATTCACTATAAGGCAAGTTCAAGTATTCATGTGTTCATGTAGGGATTCTATGCTCAGGCGTATGGCTTCCCCAGCTTTATTAATTTCACACATTTTTATGCCTCTACGCAATTAGCGACTCCTGACTGCCCTGCAGGTCCATCATTTCTTTCCTACTCTGTTGCCTTAAAAAAAAAAAACAACACCCTAATCCAAAGGACTCATACATCTTACATGACCAATCAAAATACAGCAATCCAATTAAGACATGTAAATTAAGCATGATATACGCATCATTTACGCAAAACTTGTATATTGGGGGGGGTTAGTTACAGATAACCAAATCTCACTGAAAAGTGCCAGAAATGGGGGTTGGGGGATTCTGTATTGTAATTCACCCCAGCCTTATGCCAAATGCCAGCCCTGCAAGGTTGATCAGTTTTGTGAGTTGTTGAGAGGCAGCAGAATTTTGCTGGATGAACAAGAAAGACCCCTTTGCCATGCATCTAATTAACCAAGGTTCTTGAGTACCGTGCGGTTTGCACAGGAAACCCACCTAGCTTCCTGGACTGTAGGGCCAGACTCTATATGCCCCCTCCCCAATTCCAGCTTTTCCAACCATCTATTGAGATTGGCCTAAGAAGGGGGCAGTTCTACCTTGAGGGGTGTTTCTGGGGAGGGCCCCTCTTCCAGGATCCTCCTGAGTAACTGTCCTTCATTAAACTTAGGGTTTGTTTCTACAATTTTCCACTAGCTCTAGTTCTACTTTTGGTACTTACAGATAACTGAGCTAAGGTCCTGCAGTTCTTCCTTTTATCTCTGGGATTTCCACAGGCTCCTCTGGGGCCTGTGCTAAGGGTCCTGCACCATATTTCTGGTTGTCTGTTGTGACACTGAGGAATTGATATAACATCCTACGTGCCCACATTCCAATCTGGCACACTGGGAAGAGCAGAATATCGGGAAAACAATGACGACTGCAGTTCTGCTCTGTGAGCAGGCCTTTAAATCGGGAGAGGGCCAGGGATGCCCCTTAACAAAATGACCCAGTACCCATAGAGGGCATCCAATTTGGTCAACACTAAAGGAAACGATCTTAAGAGGGCTTAAATATTTCAGTTTGATCATTTATATACTCACCTGAATTTGATCTATCCCTCTTGAATCCTTGTTCTGAAAACTTCCCCAGACCAGACTTTGCTGAACTTGTATGTCTACTTATTTTAGCAGCACTGTATCTCTGCTTTATATGTTTAGCCTCCCGGAGAGTTCTTTCTTGAACAGAAGACGGTATGCTTCCAGAAATACTGATGCAACTATAAAGAAGGGCAACATTTGAAATCTTTAAAGTCAATTTATTATTCAGGATGAATGGATCGATACCATTATGAGCGGGAGCCAAAGACCACCTTAGAATCCATGATGTAGGATTGGTCTATCTCTGTCATGTATTTTTATCCCACCCACTTTCTAAGCAGCTCAGGGGAGCATTCGTGGTTCCATCTCTCCTCTCTAACCTCACAACAACCCTATGAGCAGGTTAGACTAAAGGAGGGTGCCTGGTCCAAGGTCATGGCAGTGTGGACATCTCAATCCGGAGCTCTTTGGTCTTAACCCAACCACTACACTACGTCTTTTCTTTAAACAACGGATCCCCCACATTCCATCTTAACTGTCTTTTGAAATACCCTCCGTTTCAAAAGCAATTTTCAAAGTGGGATAGGAGGCTGATGTTCAAAAACAAAGCCTGAAGCTCCCATGCATTCACAGAACTAATTTCATGGGTCTTTGGATCCGGAAATTATTAATGCTGTACCAAGAAATGCAACAAATATATAAGGAGCTTGCAATCTAAAGTTGGAAAGGGAGGGGGAGGAAAAACAGAGGAAAGAGATGAATGTCTTAGCAAGGGTAATGAGGGATGCATGAGAGAAAATGCAGTGATAGGCCCTTCAGCTTTCCTGTGGTCGGAGTCCAGAGATCATCAAAGCAATGCCTGACATGGTCATAAACATCTCAGGTTATACAAAAATTCTGAATTGCATTTGTACTCATGGAGGAAGAGAAAGATAGTATCAAACTCAAAACAAGTTGAAAACACACATTTGCAGAACTGGGACAGACTCTTTTAACAGTATTTCAACATTGTCAGGTCCAACAGTCAAACAAAGGGAGCACAGTCTTCCAAGAAGCATATACTTTATTGTCAGTACTATTGGTCAGGAACACAAGCACTGTTAGGAATGAGTAACAAGGGAAAGCTTACTGAGATATACAGAGTTCAAACGACATCCCCCCCCCACACACACACACACGTGGGCCAATCGGCCTGATTCCCGCAGGCGGGAAGGAATAACCGATGCAGCTCAGCTGGGAAACGAAACCAGTCACACGGATGATTAATAGGAAGACACTACAACTAGACAGTGGTACAAAGTGACAGGGAAAGGAATGCGGCACCCAGTCGTATGCAGGTCAGGCAGGTGCCCCCTCAGTCCATAAACAATATGGCAGCGCAGCTGACAAACACATTTTGAAATGCAGCTGAACAAAGAGGAAGCAGAGCTATGTTGTTTTGCATTATAAAGAATATAATGAAATATGCAAATTACTGTAGAAGTTTAGAGACTAGTACGGGTGAACCATTCATTTGTCACTGTGTAGCTTCCCCTTTAACCTTTGCAAACAAAAGCAGGCTAACCAAATTCTACCCTAAAACCATACGAAGATGTAACTGCGCAGAGATGGCTTGTCATTCTCCTTTCACCTCCAGTGGGTAGGAGTTCCTGGGAATTCAAAACAGTCAGAACTGGTACGGGTCAATCGCTGACCTTCTTATGTGTCCCAGATAGTGATGAGTGAATTCCCAGCAGCATAAAATGACACAAATCACCAGAACATAGTTTGAATCCAGTGGCACCTTTAAGACCAACAAAGATTTACTCAAGGTACGAGCTTTCATGTGCGCACACACACTTCTTCAGATACAATGACACGGAAATAGATTTAGCTGTATCTGAGGAAGTGTGTGTGCACATGAAAATTCATACCTTGAATAAAACTTTGTTGGTCTTAAAGGTGTCACTGGACTCAAACTTTGTTTTACTGCTTCAGACCAACATGGCTACCCCCCTGGATCTACTTGGATCGCCAGTTAGCACCTGTGAAGTTTTTAAATTCATTTTTATTAAGACTTCTAATTTGGCTCACATTTTTTGCATATGTATGTTCTAACACTGCTCCTTAGGAACAAAAGTGAGTACAGAGGAAAGTAGCCCATTGCCTGGATAACTATGTGATACTTCTTTCCTTTCAGATCTATCACGAGTCACCATGAAACCTTGCCTCATGCTCTAGCACAGTTCTCCTCAGGGAAGAGGCAGCAGAAGCTCTAGCAGCATTTATAATTTCATTTACAAAAAACTCAAATCAGCTTCAGCAATGGAGACGCCTTCATTGAGGTCAAGTAAGTGTTAATCAATGGCTGTGCATAAACCAACATTGTCTACTGATGTATGGCATCCATGCAAGAACAAAAGCAGTGCATAAACCTGAGATGCATGTAGTTTTTAATTGTGAACACAGTAATTTTCACCGAAGGAACAGACTCAAAATAAGGACAAGTATTATGAGTATGGGAAATCTATATTACATGTATGCATGTGACATCAAGTCATAACTGATTTATGGGAACCTCAGCAAGGGGCTTTCAAGGCAAGAGAGAAGAAGAGGTGGTTTGCCATTAGGGATGTGCATTCAGCTCGTCCAAGACAATTAAAACAACGAATAATGCCTATACAGCATTATTCTGGCTTCCCAGAAGCCAAATCATATTCTTTAATCTGATTCAGCTTCCCAAATAGATATTGCTGTATAGAAGCCAAATCTATTCGGCATCTATAGAGATATCCAATTCCGGGGCAAACTGACTGGGGAAGGAAAAGGGATGTATTTAAACATGCCTCGCCAATCTTTCCTCCCTGCAGCCATGGGCCCAGCTGGAGAAGGCATGGGGAGGGATGTTTAAATGCCTCCCCGATCTTTCTGGCCCTCCCCAGCCCACTTGCTTCAGCGGACGGGCTGGGGAAGGCATGGGGGGGCATTTAAACATGCCTCCCCGATCTCTCCAAGTTTCCCCAGCCTGTCCGCTTTGGCAGGTGGGCTGGGGAAGGCAGGGGGGGAATGTTTAAATGCCTCCCCCCCCTTTTTTCACTTTTCCAGCTGACCTGCACCCAGCTAGTGAAGGGAAAAAAGATCAAGGAGGCATTTAAACCTCCTTCTCTGAAGTAGTGAGGGGGGGCAGAAGGCTCCCATCATTGAAGGGAAGGCAATTCCCATGAAGGGAATGTGCCACCTCTCCAGAGAGGGGGGAATTGAAACTTTAAACTTCTCAGTCTGGAGTCGTGCCACAGAGGCGGCATGTTCTCTTCAAGGATCGGAACCTCTCCCCCCCACACCCTATGGGAACTGTTCAGCCGAATAAATTCAGCAAGCCTGATAATTCCCGAACTCCAGTATCGGTTACCAACACTGGGATTCAGGAATATTGGCAAATATCGAAAGCTTTTGGGTTTGGTAGACCCAAACCTGAAAAAATCCAATTTTTTTTTTTTGGGTGCATACCCCTATTTGCCATTGCCTTTCTCTGCAGAATCTTCCCTGGCAGCCTCCTGTCCAAGTACTGACCCTGCTTTGCTTCCGAAATCTGATGAGATTGGGCCAGAATGTATCATTACACATCCCTAAATTCATATTTCCTTAATTTTCAAATTTCACAGTATCACTAAACACAAGCTGCTTCCAGTTTACCATTTAACAATTTTCGCTATTACAGCAAATCTGACAGTTTTGTGCATTTTGGTTAAGGCTTTTAATTAATAAAATTATACAGCCCTAGGTAAAACTGATTAAACAAAAATGAAAATTTTGAAGAACGCCCCCCCCAGCATGTAGGTCTATAGAAAAGTTTTTTTTTTAAATGAGCTTTTAACTGACTTAACTTCAGAGGTAAAGTATGCTAAGACTCTAAAAATATACTAAGGCTCTAAAGATATTTAACAGTTCATCTATAATTCTAAGCCATAACTAAAAGAAAACAGGGTTGCACTTACCTGTAACTGTTGTTCATCAACATCTTCTGTGCAGACACGCATTGGGAGTGTGCTTGTGCAGGCCAGCCGGAGGACATTTTTTTTCTAGTATAATGGGGCACCCTGCCCTTTTTCAGAGCTGGCATGCACGGGTTTTCCTGCCCAGGCTATGAGAATGCAGTCTAATCCCTCCGCCATTAGCTTCCCTTTCACCCTGCTCAGAAGGAGAAAGGAGGAGAATGCACAGAATAGCATCCTCAACAAGGGGATCTGAAATGCATCCCCCAATGAGGCTGGTTCACTGTCCACTAGGGAGCAAAATTTCAAGGCCTTCTTTGACTCAGCCATAGTGAATTGATCTGCCTGAGGATACTCCCAACACCATGTCAAGATACTTGGGCTGGATGGACCACTTATAGTTGGTCCAATATACCCTGCTCAGCTTGTCTGCCTCCACATTCAGATTTCCTGCTATATGAATAACTCTGAGAAACACCCCTATATTTGTAGCCACCTCCTAAGCCACTATAGCCTCCATACAGAGCCCCTGGGATCCCGTACCACTCTTCTTATTGAAATAATAAGAATACATATCATGTTGCCAAAGATGACCTTCAATGCTACACTACTGGAAACATCAAAATAAACAGAACATTAAGGACTAATAGTATGTCATTGTTACATTGATGTATCTGATACCAACCACTATTAGTGAAGACATACAAGACATGGTGATTACTTTCTCTAATCAAACGTGCTGTTATGTTCAAAGCTGTTACGTTTAAAACTTGGAAAACTTAATTTAACTTAGAAAACTCTTTCCTTGCCTTCGAGAAAATGCGTATCTTTTGAAAAAATTAATAAGGTGTGTATTTTTTTAATGCTGGGTTCCTAATAATCTCAGAGACAAATCATGCATGCAAAGGAAGGCTTAGCTTTATATTACTTGACAATATTTTGTGGCAGCCATGGCAAAGGATTATTTTAAAGATTCTAGCAAAAGAGCACTAGGAGCTATATTATTTATTGGCAAGAATTTATTATGTAATTAATCACCACTGAACAGTCTATTTATGACATTAAATAGAAGGGCTGTATAATATAGATGAAAAATGACCAGTTCAATGAGATTTTACAGAACATGACATGTCAACTAATCAAGTAAAAGTGATTTATATCAATGTCAGTCAAGCTAATAATTATGTCACACAATGTGTGGAATAGCC